AAAGAAAAGGAACAAGTCGTAGATCTTTATAAATACGACGAAATAGATAAGAAGATGAAGTATACATCGTATACTAATAAAATTAATTATCAATCAAATCGCTTCGAAGGATCAAATTCCAGAATCCGAATGGCCAAACATCGGAGGATGACCTATTGCCAAATTTGATGCGTCCGAACATCGTGTTTTCTAGGCGTTTCCGCGTAACCTTAAAAAAAGAAATCCGTGAAGATAGCCGTGGGTTATAAGACTATACCGGTGTTCATATCTGTTGCGCTCTCTCTTTCATCCTTTTTTTCGGGCAGAGATTTATTGCCAAATTACCGGACCATAAGACGGTGTGCATTTGTATGCATATACGTAGGCGTAACACGAAAGAGAAATGAAGTTTCGCGCGTTTAACAGCGAAATTTGAAAAGCAAACAATTATTTAACTATGTCACTGTGCCTTTTACGAGGCGTTGCGAGAGACACAGAGTTCACACTTTCGTTTAAACTCGGCGAAGGAAATTTTAATAAAAATCAAGAACTTTTAATTTCGTTCACTTAGATCCTGATTTTAAGATTAATTGTTCGTGACGATACATTTCGACGTAATAATTTAAAGGAAGCTTCTATTGAGAAGGAGGAAAGGAAATTTAAAAAACAAGTGACAATCATCGAGTGAGAATATAAAAATATGAAAAATTAAAACAATTGATACAGTAACATTTTTACGGTTCTGTTTGTTTTTGTTGTAATTTGATTGGAAGCAAGAACAAAAACTTTAAAAATTAATATATCAATATTGAACCATGAAAAATAGCATTTACCATGATGTGTAAACGAATTTCTTATAAAGCTATGAATAACTTAATGAATGTAATATGATCATATAATTAATAGAGATGACATAAAATTTATGGGGAAAAAAATAGCATTGAGATGTCATTGAATTACATTTCATTACAATTCTACTCAGTTTTTTAGCATGTAATTTATTAAATGAAGAAACGTTTGAAACGTACTATATAGAAATAAATTTTATGAAAAAATATGTAAATTATCAAATAAAATGAATTAGGTAAAGAAAACATAAATGAAATAAGAAGCTAAATGAATGTAATATACATATTTAAAAATAAAAAATAATTTTAGAAAAATAAATTTTTCATATTAATTCGTGATTAATTCAATTTTTTTAAATTTCTATAAAAAAAAACTACTGCAATCCTGCGAAGGATTAATAAAGGATTTATGTAGAATTTTATCGATAAATTATCATGTTGTAAAAAGTAAAACGCAAATGACTATACTGCAGATTTTTATACATTTACAGGGAAATTTGAAAGTGCAAAATTGCATATAATATGAAATTATATATAAAACATCTCAACATTTAATATTTAAAATAGAATTTTTTTAACTTTTTGAATGCTCACTTGATCAGAATTACCAAAAATCTATATTCTAATACATCCTCTTTGAGGTAAGTTAATTTTAAGCTATATAATACATTATAGTACAGAGACTAATTATTTTCAGCTGTGTGAAACACTTAAAATATTAATTACATTCTCAAAGGTATGAATTTATATAGAAATCCGTATAAATGCTTCAAATTTCGGAAACGTGCCAAATAGTTGTGACATATTGAGAGAGAAAAACACGATACCAACACTGTATGCTTTGATAGCTAAATACCGTTATATCACAGTATGTGGTAGTATAAAATTTATCAAGCAGATTTCCGACATCAGAAAGAATTTGGTAGTGATCCTTCTGTCACAATGAAGATAAATTAGCTCATGTATTCGGTTCACGTGCTTTGGCCAAGGCTCTAGAGATTTGTTACACGGCTGAATTTATAACACACGCAAAATACGAAAATTCGCACAAAGGGATCACCGGGTCAATGAAAGCATCGAAAATGAATTCCATATTTGGAAGGCTTTTTGCGGACTCGTCTTACATGTGAACGCATTTAAAAGTATGACATCCAGTCCGCTGTTCCTCCTTATCTCAATCTATGACGAATTTCGAAATGTTCATCCTTTGTGAAAATGAAGATGGAATGAACTGCCATCGAAATGTTGCTAATAAAAATAAGATATCTTTATTACAAAGAAGAATAACTAGTAGTGACTTTATTAACTATTATTTTCTGTATTTGTAAGAAATTTGAAAGCGAAAATTTGCACAGAAAGCACATAGTATGAAAAAATGTATCCAAGATGTTTTTTCTAGTACTTAATACGTAAAACAATTCTTTTTAGTAATTCTAATTTATTGGTTCCATTTCCAGAAATATGAATTTGCATAAAAATCCACAGTAATAATACTCTAACGATAATAATAAGTAGTTTATCACTAATGAAATGAGATAAATTTAAGATTTTATAAATATTTGTGCAGTTTGCAAATTTTGTGAAATTCAACATTTTTAAAAATTTCGTATAAATACATAAAAATCCACAGTCGTCTCATAAATTATTGATATTTAAATTTACAACTTGTTCGGTAGCAGTTTTGACACTTCTATTATTTAAAAAAACGACAGTTTAACTTAACATTATTACATTATTGTATTGCATAATAAATAAAGACCTTATTAATTCCAATCTTTTGTTAAAAATAGAAATTTTATGTCAAATAAAACTAACATTTAACGATTATAAAATATGTAATTGAAAAATTCTTCAAAAATTTTCATACATTTCTTTATAGATAATGAGATACTGACAATGATGCGATATTTAAGATAAAAATTTTAAGAAAAACATAACCAATATCTTAAATTAAACTCTACACGTTGCTCTACCATTTTTCATATCAAAAGCACAATCGCACTTTAAAAAGTAATGCCTATCACGTTTACATGAGATTCTTTTAATCTCCAGTTTGTAATACAATTTTTTATTTATTAAAGATATTTCTTCGAAAAGTCTAAAATATTTCGTATTCTTTCTTCTTTCTTTTTTTTTTTTTTTCTTTAAGTTAACCATCTAAATTATTATACTCACGTAACACAGTGGTTGCAAACTTTCTTCAACCATAAGTTTCCAAGCCGTCGTAAATATGAATTTTTTCCCCAAGAAGACTCATGAACATGTCGCAGAGACACGGTGTTGTACGCTGACAAGACATCGCGCATCTGTACCGTGGGCAGCACTCTGGTTGCCCCTCTATTAGACCCCTGTCTTGAAAATTTCGTAATATTTACCGGCGTCTAAGCCTCGGTCAGAAATCTATCAATGAGAGAGAGGTCCTCGCACCTCGCAAGGTTTCGGCAGCACTATATAAACGCGTCCATTAGACTAGCTCTTTACAAGCAGAAAACAACTCCGATCAACATGAACACTTTGGTGAGTTTCGTACGACATTTGGGTACATGGGCTGTCCGAACTATCGCTGAGATCATTGTTAACTTGTTTTACAAACTTCATATTTACTTTCATACATTGAACGTCTTGTTTCATAAGAGTTCTCTTCTCGCCTATTATACAACTGATAAATTTAACAACTACGATATCAGAAGAATGTTAACACTTGAAGGATGAATTTTTTTTTAAATTGAAATCGATGAGTATTGATAATTTGTGCTTTTGCAATTTATTCTTGATTAATGATACATTGGTTTTTTGTTCTTACTTAAACAATATAACACTCTTCATATAATATTTTTATAATTTATAGAATTTTTTTCTGAATTTTATCGGTATCATGAGAAGAATGATTTTAGAAAATAAAAGAAAAGACTAACTTACTTTCTACAAATTATTTTTCATATTTATTCAACATTATTCAAATTACGTATTATTTGGAATACTTGTGTTTTAAATTGAAGAATCCCAATGTAAATATTTCACAAAGAATGCTAATTGTGTGCCCTATTGTTAAAACATTATATCACGAAGTATAGTTAAGAAAAACATAATTTACTGTAAAATTTCTCCGCAATTCAATGTATCATACAAATGTTTTATTTACGACTAGATGTTTCTCATATTATTAACGAACATTTATTTCAGCAAAGTATACTATTTGTCCAATTATCAAAAGTAAAATACTATATCATATTAATAAAATATTATTATAATTAATCTTACAATCATATTAATTATATACTAATTTTATCTAAATTAATCGTACATATTATTGCAATACAGAAATTGACTATTCTTCGTGTATAACAAATTTATTTCATCGTTATGTGTACTACTATACGATCCATGCACAAAAATCTACTCCTAAAGTCTAAAAATTTATTTCATAGATGTTCATTTGCTAAAATCATACAACTATACAATTATACACGCAACAAAATCGCAATAAAAATTTGTGTTTCAGTATTACGTTGTCTTCGCCATCGTTGCGGTTTCCGCGTACGCCGCGCCAGTGGACAATAGCACACCAGTGCCAATTCTGGCGTATACCGCCGATGGTCCCAATCCGGATGGCTCGTACGACTTCAACTACGAGACTGGAAACGGCATTAAGGCGGAGGAACACGGTCAACTGAAGCAACTGAACGAGACGAATTCAGTGATCGTCGTTCAAGGATCCTATAGTTATTCGGATGCTGACGGAGCTCCTGTTGCCCTGAGCTACGTCGCTGACGAGAATGGTTTCCAACCAAAGGGCGAACACCTTCCAACCCCTCATCCGGTACCAGCTGGAATTCTAAGAGCCTTGGAATACATCGCTGCACACCCTGAACAAGACAATGCACGTTGATCGAGCAGCACGCTGATACTACAGTAGAAATAGGACGTAATTGATGCGGCGATGAGTCAAGTGCGAAAGTTTTAAAACTCATCGTGATGCAGTGTATATTTTTATAGACTCGTTTTTTTTGCCTATTTTCTCTGTTTTCGTCATCGAACATCCGCCAGGTGTCACAGCGATCCTAAACGGTAGTCGTGTAACAACTGTAACACAAAATTCGATGCTTATGATTTAATATGATACAGCAACGTAAATCTTAAAGATGCTACAGCACCGATTATGTGACTTATCATCGACATTTGTGTGAAATACATAATTATAAAATAAATGTTTAGCTGTTTAAGTTGAACTTGTGTCTTCTCTCTTGAATGATAATAGCTTTCCTTGTCACAATTGCCCTTGCTTTTGTAACAATTTTTTCCTTCCAATTCCGAGATTTTCTCCTAAGTAAGTGTGTAATTTGGTCTTTAACAAATTTTAATTATGAAATGAATGTTTAGATATTAAAGTTAAACTTTAATAGTGTTTTTCCCTTGAAATTTGTGACTTTTCTTACTGCCAACTTAAAAACACTTCTTTGTCCTTTCCAATTTTCTGCACTTTTTCCTAAGTAAATATGTAATCCAAAATATTCGAACAGATTCAATGGAATAAATCTTTGGTATACTAGGGTAAAATGTGTATCGTTTCTCTTAAAATTCTTGGCTTTTTCTTATTAGTAGCAATTCTCATTTGATAAATCTTTGTTCTTTCTAAGCATTTCGTAAGTATGCAATTTAAAAAATGTAACCTACGCGATGATTTGGGTATAGAATACTTGTAGTAATTTTTTACAAATATTTATATTTGTTGTTTCTTATATTTTTAATTTTCTTAGGTCAAAGGCAAAGAAAAGATCACAGAAGAGATTCAATGAAATTTTTAAATTGCAAAGCTAAATAATGCTTATACTTAAAACGAAACACTATACAAGAGTAATTTCGTTTAATGTTGATTTATTTATCATATTTATCATTATTTATCAATTATTATTAATAAAAAAGACAGAAATTGTGAGAAAATTGTGCATCAAATTTTAGGGTCACTGTAAAGAGTAAAGTCCAGTCATGGACAAACATTTTCAATGTTTCTATATATTATATATTATATATCTGTTGTATTCTCAAGAAAGAAAAATACTTTCACCTTCCTATTCGTTACATGACGTAAAAATAATTCGAAGAAAAATAAATGCGTAAATAAAAAAAAAATAAATAAATGCATTGCAAATAAAGATTTCACATTTTAAAATGATTTAATTATTATTATACGAAAATGTAATAGTTTAAATCAATAAATAACAAATAAATAATAAACATCGGCAATTTTTGGATGTACAGCACTCTCTGTATTAGTAGCTATTATAATTTCGAAATTCAAAGTTTATAAAACGTTAGTATCTCTTTATTTCAGTCTTTCAATTCGAGTGTTTCAATATTACAAGAATTCAATATTACAATATCCTATATAGTTTTAAATAGTTAAAGGCTAATCTTCTATTTCATCTAATTTGTATTTTGTATCTTATTTTGTAAAAATAATTAATGATCGTACAAGTTATGACATAGTTAAGACGAAGTAGCCTAATTCAAATTTAATACGAATTATTGCAGTTATCAAAATTAAAGTTATTCTTATTAATCATTATTTCTTATTAATCACTTTTTATTTAGCATATCTTTAACATCTCTTACAAACAATTTCACTTAAACAATATATATGTTCGATTCTCTCTTTCATCGATTATTGTTCTTTCATTTTCACTGTTAATTGATTTCGCACGAATATATAAAACAGGATTCACATCAATCAACTTTTATTAGGTTGAGAAAACTAATCTCATGTTATACATATACATCAAATTTTGTAATGTATAATGCACGGCTTCTGTATCATGGAACAATACAGCATAATTGCATAATTGGATGATAAATTACGCTTGTGTTTAGACACATGGGTTTGATTATTCATGCACATTAGTCAGATGTTTCTTCAGGGAACTGATTAACGTTTCTTACATCGTATATAAACGTTATTTGTAGACAAAGCTGAACATATAGAAATTAATCACTGAAAAAAATGAAGATTCTCGAAAATATAGATATTATTTCTTTTTGTGCGTACTGATCTCTAATGATCAGTCAGTTAATTAAAATATAAGTATAGTACAATTTTGCATGTTGTAACTTTATTATTTCAGTTTTATTTAGTTTATTACTAATAATTCAATATTTTAATAATTCATATTGTACATGACGTGGTTCTCGAAAATATTCAAGAATAAATATTCAAAATTTTTGCAGAATTCTTTAAAGCATTATTTAAATTTCTATTTGCATATTATCTTCGGATTGGGACGACATACTATGAATATTATGAATAAATTTTCTTTTATTATATTTATTTATTTTGTAAATTAAAGAATTATTAAATAATTCATTTTTTTCAATCATTGCTTTTGAACTTTCGATAATTATAATTGAAGAATTAATAAAGTTTCGTTCTTTTAAATATATTTTTAATGAATAAATATCTTCAAAAAATTCATTATCTCCAGCATGTGGTAAAAATATTTTGAAAAAGTTTTTCTAGCTCTCTCTTCTTTGAATTATAAATTTAATGTTATATAAACTGCTACTCGTGGCATTAAAAACTGTTAAGATGGAAGTTAATGTCCTTTAAATATTCCAAGGTTTGATGTATTGCTTTAAGGCTGCTTAAAGTTGCCTTTTAACGCTACCGATGACTAAAGTATAAAACTTGTATGAGAGAAATTGCATAAGGGAATTAAATTTAAATTAAATAAAATTGTATGAGGGAATTAAATTGCTTGAAATAGGGAAAAGTTTTTCATACAATAAAAGATACGAACTTTTATCTAAATATTTTAACAGAGAATTATTTTAGAAATGCATCGTTATAAATCTATAAAATTCTTATAAAAAATTATAAATCAATCAGTTTAGTACTTCGGTAATTTTAGATTTATAATAAGATATAAATGCTGCTTGATTCAATGAGTTGAAAATTTGGGACAATTGCAGTATGTTTTATAATATGTTTTATAATAAATTATTTAAATGATATATTACAAAAGTAATAAATTTTAAAATAATAAATTATTTAAATGATATATTACTAAAATACTTTTCTTTTGTTAGATAACACAATATTGTAAATGTAATAAAAAATATTACATTTATTTAATAGAATGTTTAATTAGTTGTTACAGTACATAATGTTACAATACATAATGATCAAAACTTATTCCGAATTATTGACAACGATCCTGTAAGTAGTTTAGATTTATAGTTCTACACAGCTAGCACTTAATCATTTTGACTACTTTAGTATCTCGAATTAATATTCACTTTCAGTTTATATTGATTTATAAATACTCGCAGTTCTCAATCATATACAGACTATTAAAATACAGTAATGGATTCCTCCGAAATAGCATTTATATTCAATTAATATTGGTTTATAAATACTCGTAGTTCTCAATCATGTACAGATTATTAAAATATAGTAAAACTTCGTTTGTATGAACTTATCGAGGGATAAATAGTTTATAATAGAAGCCCACTGATTCTTCTCTTCGCTAATAATTTTTCATTTAATAAGAATTAATAAAAGTTCAGGTTCAAATAAGTGAATTTAATTAATAAAAATTCACTTAATCAACTAAAATTTAATTTAAATAAATGGAGTTTATATAAACGGAATTTTATTGTATATTATTTTAAATATATTAATGATTTCTAAAATACCAGATTTAAGTTGAAACACGAAAAAATATATACACGGATAATTCTTGTATAATTCTATATATAAGAAATATTGTATATATTTCTCATCCTTGATTCATTCATTCTTGATCAATTTTTATTTCTTATTTAACCACTATATTGGCCAAAAAATCAATTTTTATGTTGCATTTCTGTTATGACTTCTTAATTAAATATCTATGATATTTTAAAATTATATTATGAATATTTTTATTCATAAAATATTCTAACGTAATCATTTGACGGAAGAAAAACCTATATCTCATATATTAAATAGAAATAAACAACTACTATCTGTCGATAATCAAATTGTGATGTAATTTTATGTATTTTTCCTTCTTTTCTAGAATTGTTTGCCGCGTTTCTATCGATCTAACGATTTTATCGATGATTCACGATTTGAATCACACAAAATGGCGTAATGCAATAAAAAATTCAATACTACGAATATTAGAATTGGCTAAAATTAAATGATCGAGAGATAACAAATGTAAATAAGAAAAATATTTAATTTTGTCAGACATAATCGACAAGATTTTTATTACAATATTCAAAACATACTGAATAAATGGCATAATAATTTTCAAAAAATTTTATTTATTTCCTATTAATTTTTTAGGTTTTAAGTGAAGAGCATAACTGAACCAGTAATACTGAAATGTTGTTGATAATTTAAACTGTTATAACTTTCTTACAAAAAATGTTGTAACAATTCGTTTAATTTCATTTTAGAGCTTAAAGCCAATGCTTTGACAGTTCTGAATTCGTTTATTTTCAAAGATGATATTACAACATATAAAGACTGGAGAAGTAAGGATACCTTTCACTTGAATGTTGTAAATTGTCAGACGTCTTCAAAAACGTTAAAAATTTTTTTTACAAATAGATCTACCACAGAAGATCAAAATTTTCTTTTGACAATGATCCTTTAAACTTTGACCTAACTGATCCTAAACTTTTTCTTTTTTTTTTACTATTTTATTCAATTTTAAACTTTGAACTTTGATAGGATTAGATGACAAAATGTTAACATTTCTTGAATTTTTGTTGTTTAATTATATAAGGGAAAAAATATTGTACGACAAGATGAGTCTCTGTGAAATATAACTTCGATCTTCAAAGTAATACTGAATATTCACGAAAAATTTTTTACAATATTTTTAGATATTTGAACTTTTACAA